CCGCCACTTGCGCTATATGGGGCTAGCACCCTACTCACTGAGCCACAGGCGCCACCCTACAACTTGATATTTTAATGGCTTTATGGTGACAACTGAGTTTTCTAAGGTCTAGTGAAACATGCTTATATGTTAGAAAAATCATAAGCTGTTTGTTTCAACCGATAGTTTAATAAAATTCTGTTTCAAGATCTAGTCCTAGGGCTTAGTTTTTCTTAAACCTTTAAGCTCAATGTATAAATCTTTTACTATTAATTCCAATTTGTCAATGTAGGAACACGTTTTCTTCAATCAGTGTTTGGCTTTTCTCTCTTATTAGATTAAGTACTTTTAAACATTAAAACCCATATATAAACTTAGACAAGTTCTCCCAATTTTTAAATGATATTTATACATTTAATAGATTTTAAACACTTCAAATGCACAACTGGGCAGGCATACAAGTCTAGCAAGCAAACCATTTCTAAACCCTTCTGCTGGAGCTAGTGTCTATGCTCAGTCACCTCTGCAGCTGTGTTCAAGGACCTTCAGATCCCAACTGCCATAGATGGTGTGTGGGAGCAGGCCATTCACACGTGAGTTTTTCTTGTAGCCTTGAGCATCCATCACATGGCCCCTTTCTCATTTTTTTTTTTTTTATTGTTGGGGATTCATTGAGGATACAAGAAACCAGGTTACATTGATTGCATTTGTTAGGTAAAGTACGACTCACAATTGTGTCTTGCCCCCCCAAAAGTGAGGGACACACCAAGATCCTTTCTCATTTTTTAAAAAACTATAACCTCTGATATGAATTATTGAGGCTCTATATTTCCTATTCACGTTGGAATTTCTACCTAACTGAATACTGCATTCTTCGTATATGATAATTACGTAAGTTTTATGTACAGTATACTATTTCATAGTATTAAGGTAACCATAATTTATTAAGCTAATCCCCTGTTCTTGGATATTAGGTTAATTCCAATTTTCTCTTATAAGTACCTATTGAAAATATACTTGTAAAAATATTTTGCATGCATCTTTTTCTTTTAGGATAAAGTCATAAAATAACTGAGTAAAAGTGCTATGATCTCAATATCAGGTCTGTAATGTCATCTAGTGGCACAAAACTACTGCTGCTACCATTTGTACTCCCTGATGCACTTCAGAGTCATTTTGTCAAAGTACAGGAAAAACCCTATTGGTATGATTAAAAGAAATTGATTAGCATTACATATTAATATGGTACTATCAAACCCTTGATAAATGGTAATTCAATTGATATAACATCTCAGCTTCCTACCTTTGCATAGCTTTCTTTATCTCCATCAATATTATTAATTTTATAGCTTTATAAACTAGAGCAGTGGTTCTCAACCTTCCTAATGATGTGACCCTTTAATACAGTTCTTCATGTTGTGGTGACCCCCCCAACCATAAAATTATTTTCATTGCTACTTCCTAACTGTAATTTTGCTACTGTTATGAATCATAATGTAAATATCTGACATGAAGGAGACCCCCCAAAGGGGTTGCGACCCACAGGTTGAGAACCACTGGCTTAAGGGAATTTTTGCTATTGTTGTAGTGGCTACCTCAGTAGCCAGTGGTCTGGTTTTATCTTTTATTAGGTTTTCTATCTGGCTATTACTGGTTCTCTAAGGAAGCTGTGGGTGTGTGTTTAATTTGTAAACAGAACCTGACCTTCCAGTTGACTGTTACATATATATGTGTGAGATAGACAGTTGTTTTTACATATACATTTATTTTTTGCTTTTCTATCATTACTTGCCTGTTCTTTTTCTTGTCTTGGCTTAATTGGCTAGAACAATATCACCCAGCAGAAGTATAGAAGTAAAATGTAGAAGCACAGTGATGATAAGTATGCGTTCTCTTGTCATTTGTCAAAAAGCTCCTACAGGGAGGTAGAGGTAGAGGACTTTCCCCACTAGATATGAAGTTTGTATTACACAGCTGCAGTTGTGATGTCGATACTGAAAGGAGCTAGCTGCGCATACTTCTACTATTAGGTATTTTTATTCCGCAAAGTCAAGTGGATGTTGAATTTTATCAAATGCCTTTTGGCTTCGCTCAAGATAATTGTTTGTTTTTACATATGTTTTTATTTTATTATAGTCATTTCCTAATTTCAAACCTTCCTTGCATTTTTGGAGTACCTAGTTCTAAAAAAAGAAAAAAAAAACTAACAAAAAGTAATGTCAGTATACCAAAATTTAAAGACTTTTATATTTTCCTTCAAAAGAGAAATGCATCTCTAGAGATCTTTATCTTTTTCTTTTCTTTTTTTTTTTTTTTT